CAGGTTCGCCCAGCTATCCATTTGGGGACATTCCATTGAATTCCATTACATTTCTACAGCCTAACCCTGACCACAAACCCTAATGGTACGTTCACACCGAACGCGTTTTGAGCAGCAGGAGCTGCCGATTCACATGCAAAGTCTATAAGGACGCGCCTCTAGGGGTCGTGCGTCGCGTCACGTACGTTTTGGGYGGYGCGCAAGGAAGGCAGAAGGAGCACAGAGCGTTTTCCACACATGCGGTGCTGCAGAAGCAGCCGCCGTCAGAGTTCAAATATCTGAACTTTTTGCCGCTCGACGCGTCTCCCACTGAAAACCGAAACAGACGGACTGGAGATCTTTACCTGAAATCGACCATGTGCAGTTGGATTTTCTGGCAGAACATATCAGCTGCTCGGGACAAAAAAAAAAAAAGAAAAAGTCCGTCAGCTGGCAGCTTCTGGAGTGACAAAACTAACCAAAAAAAATCGCCTCTAAATCATCTGGTTAGTTAATTATCTGCTGTGCGCAACGTTCACTTGCTTTTTAGTAAATAAATCAAAGCCATTTTCTTTTATTTTATCTTTATTCACCCGCTGAGGACACGCTCCTCCTACACCTCGCTGCTGCCGCTGCTTGTTCTGGTCTGAACACTAGTGCGTTCTTCAATCTGAACATAGTGCGTCCAACGAGAGGCGTTTTGTGCTTTTTGGCCGCTTAAAACGCGTTCGGTGTGAATGTAGCATAAGGCTAACCTCACAGTAGGGTTGGGCAATATTTGCAAAAAAATTAATCACGATTAATTGTGGTATTTAGCCGATAACGATTAATATGACGATTAATCCCCTGGAGTTCCTGGACACTCTTGTGTCCTGGTCACATGACCAATTTAGTGGGAAAGATTTGCTCTTCGTTAAAATCTGTTCCAAATTGTGCCAAAATTACAGACTTCGTAATTGTATTGAAAGATAAATAAATAAATACAGAACTTTATTTTTAATGTTCGTCGTATTTGAAGTGGAGATGAATATCAATCAGAATAAAACGGAGTAATCCCCAGTCAGTCTGCCTTGTGGCATTAATCGTATTAATCGTCAAGTGCCAAAATGTAATCGATTAATGTTTTTCTGATGATTAATTGCACATGAAACTATTATGCCCAACCCTACCTCACAGGTACCTACCTGACCCTAAAACTAACCTAAATTCACACCTTAGTCCTAAACCCAACCCCTGAACCCACCAATGGCATTTAAACCAAACGGGGACTCGACTTTTTTCCCAAATGTAGGCGTTTTGTCTTAAAATTGCCCCCAAATGTCACCAAAAACACACACACCCCCCGCGCGCGCGCGTACACACACACACACACACACACAC